AGTTTTATCTATGATTTTTGGAATGGTCATAGCGTCAATTGTTACGGTCGGTTCAGGTGTAGAGTGTGCCGACAACGTGACCGTAATAATGCCTGAGACAATACTACTAGGTGAACCAGCAAATGGACGAATTTGTGCTGAACATCGACGAAGAGGTAATGCCAATTTGCCAGCACAGCTTACTGTTATAAAGCTGGCTTCTGATCCACTGTCAACCAGTGCACGTAATATTTGATGAGATCCATCTGAAGCCTTGGCTTTGATTAGCATTGTGGCTAATAGCACAGTGGGACGCTTTGATTGGGATACGAGGCATGTGGTAATCGGTGGTTCCACATTTTTCGCTGGTGTCTGAATATTGATGCTTGTTTTATCACTGGAGTGTGGCGTGATTTTAGTGAAATGAAGCATTGAATGATGCTTCTGTTTACATATCCGAAAAGTAAATTTTGAATTACATGACGTTGTACTGTGATTTGGCAGTAAGCAATTAAGACACAAATTTCGTTCCTTTACAATTTGAAACCGTTCACCTGGTGTTTTGGCAGCAAACTTTGGACACTGCCTGAGCTTGTGTGATTCTTTGCACAATAAACATGTTTCCATGCTTATTCCAGTGGTTAGAACTCTATGGGTTGGAGTGGAACGTGGATTTTGCTTTTTTGCATCAGTTTTAACTCGATATATTCTGGATGCCAAAAGGCCTTCTCCTTGTATTTCAGCTGCTCTGATATGATTTCGGAGAAAATCAATTAATTCAGTAACAGTGGGTGACACTGTATCTCCAACTTGTATTTCCCAACGGGAACGAAGTTCGTAATCTAATTGTTTTTTAAAGATGTGTATAAGGATTTGATTCCAATGACGAGTAACAAAGTTTTGATTGTCAAGAGCCGCTGTATGTTCGTGAATTGTATTTATGAATGTTTTGATTGAAGCGGAATTATCAATTTTAACTACATGTGGTGTCAATAAAGCATCTAAATGTATACGAGCAAGATCTCGTTTATTCCCGTAACGTGAACGTAATATTTCCCAAGTGCTTAGGTAGTTGGCAACAGTTATCGGAAGATGTGCGATTAAAGATGATGGTTCACCTTGAAGGGACGTTTTCAGGTATTCAAATTTTTCTACGTCTGGTAGATCTGGTGCATGCGATAGAATTGAATTGAATAGGTCCTCAAATCCTTGTCATTCCGTTACTATGCCCGAGAAGGTTAGGAATTTCCGTTGGGCATTTGGAATGCCGCCATAGTGCTAGAGTTTTGTGATTGTTCTAGAGTTGATTGATTGATAGTTAATGTTGAAAACTTATGAACTTCGGCGAATGCTGCTATCTCATAATATAGAGAGCCAAATGATTCACTAAGTTGTTGAGTTGTAGTGAAGTCTGTTACATCAACTGGTGCCGTTTTGTTTGCAACAGCTGTTTCCATAATTTGGATGTCTGCCTCTACATGTTGACGTATCTCATTTATTTCGCTAATCATTCAAGAGACTTTAGCGCGTTTTGCGACGTTGGAACGGTCTTGGTTAAAATCAACAGAAGCTTGTATAAAACCTGTGATCCGTTTGATAGCACGATTCACACGCACCTTGGCCTCTATGTAGGCGATTGAACCTGAAGACATATCGCGATATGTAGTACTGTCGTCGACCATAGGATGTATATAATGCTCGGGTAACGAGTATTAGGAGGAACGACATTATTTATGCTTGAAATATTTTAAAGTAATCCGGCTCGAAGGACCAAACCGGAGAGACAGTAAATGGTGACTTTCCATCACGCCACCGTGCCTTTTATAGGTAGGCGCACCAATAACGGCGTCCGTTAGCGCGATGGATTTAGCCTGGTGACGATAATCCGAAATTCAGTGACAATTAAAATAAAAATAATACATTAATTAACTACGTAACATTCGCGAACAAACTCGATATCTCATTTAAATAATAATAATAATATGAATAATAATATTAATAAGATAAAATACCGAGCGTCCGCACATTTTACGTAATTATTGCATAAACAGTCTATATCCTTCAGGTGAATGTTTATTTTTTCCTGGCTTTAAGATAGGTATTATATTGGAAGTTTTCCACCTTTTGGGGATCTGTCCCTTTTTCCATATGTGGTTGTATATATTGAGTAGGTGTTGTTTTGTTGATACCGCTGAATTATGTAAGAAGTTATAAGGAATTGTGTCTGGGCCCGGACTTTTACTTTTGCACTTTCTCAGTGTTAGTTCTAGCTCATCCATAGTGATTTTGAGATTTAGGTTTATCTGGTATGGGTTGTTTGGATCGATGGTTGACTTAATTTGAATGCTCTCATTGGGGTTTTTATATCCTTTTTAAATTTTTCTTCATATAGTTTGTCGCTAAAGTTTTCATGAAAGAAGTTTCCAATTGTATCTGCTACTACTGTTTGATTGGTTAAGGTGGTCTGTATGGTTTTTATAAATATGTCGTTGTTTTGGGATAAACCTTTTAATGATTTTATTTTTCTCCATACTTCAGATGGGTTCGTTTTTCCATTGATGGTGGATGTGAATAAATTCCATGAATCTTTCTTACTGTTTTTTATAAGATACTTGCTTTTGGCTCTGAGTCTTTTGAGTTCGATAAAATTTTCGGGGGTTTTATTTTTTTTTAAGTTTATTAGTGCTTTATTTTTATTGAATAACGCGCCTTTTATTTTATCGTTCCACCAGGGCACTCTGGGTTTTTTTGTTTGATTAGTTGTGCCTACTGTATTTTTTGTGCCATCAGTTATGAGGTCTGTAACAGTTTGGGTAGTTTCTTCTATATCGTAGATGTTGTGGTTAGGTATTTTTTTTTGTTTCTTCTTCCTGTAGGTCGGAAAATAAATTCCAATTTTCATTTTTTAAATTCCATCTTTGTTTATTTGAATATTTGTTTTTTATTTGTCTTGATGATATTTCGATCTTAATTGGGATGTGGTCACTGCTATAGATTTCTGAAAGTACTTCCCATTCGAGTTTCTGTGCAATTGATGGTGAACTTAAACTTAGGTCTATACAAGAAAGGTTGCCATTCCCAAGGTTTATATGTGTGGGAGTTGAGTCATTTAAAAGTACAAGGTCTTTATTCTGTATGAGTTTTTCAATCATTTTACCTCTAGGATTGGTGTAGTTAGAGCCCCAAATTATATTATAAGAGTTGAAATCGCCTAATATTATGAAAGGCTTTGAGAGTTGACGTATAATCTTTTCCATTTCTGATAACGAAAAAATCGGTTTGATTTGGTAGCTAAATGTTGCATAAAGTGAATGTTTCGTTGTGTTGGATGGATACAGCTAATATTTCGAGGTTACTGTTTATTTTTAATTCTTTTGTTGGAATGTTCGATTTTGAGTATATTGTGATTCCTCCGCTGGCTCTATCTGCTATTCTTCTGTTTTTACTGTATCCTACGTAGTTTTTGAGATGTACGGTGTAGTTGTCTTTGAAGTTTGTTTCTTGGAGGCATATAATTTGGTGATCGTGTTTTTGGATGATAAGTTTTAGCTCTTCTTGTTTTTGAAAAAAAACCATTAAGGTTCCATTGTAAAATATTAACCATATTTGTTATGACGTGATACAGGATCTTGTTTGGTTGTATTGTACTGACTTTTTTTTTTTATGATAGTATGTTGTGTGTTGTGTGCATGAATAAGTATCAGTAAGTGTTCGAATCATTTGATGAAGCTTTAACGAAAGCTTCATTTTCTATTGCTTTAAAGAGTTTTGATGTAATCCGAGTTATATTGTTTTTTGCTTTAGTGGTAAGAAAAGAGGGTCTGATTCTTTCAAGTAAGTCAAATATGTGATTTCCTGTGGTTTCGTATTCATGGATTGTGTCTAGAGGGTGTTCAAGTGTAGCAATTATTTCTGTTATATGTTTAAATTGTGCAAAGTTTAAACTAGTTTGATTATGCTCCTCAAAAATGTGGCTGATGGGATCTAGGTGAGTGTCCAAGTCATCTGAGAAACGATTGAGTGAATTAAGTGGGATCGAATTTCAGGTTTATTCATAGCTTCTGGTAGAGTAAAAATTGATTCTTGATTGGTTGGAGTGTATTCAGATGTAATGGTTTGATCGGTTATTTTGATTTTTTTGTGTTGTTTTTTTGACTCTAGAGGAATTTGCCCTAGAGAAGTTGTGTATAATGGGCTGGTGGGGGTTGAAAAGGTAGTTTTTGTTGGGACATGGCGTTTGTGAGCTGAGTATTCGGTGTCATTGTTCCAATTTGGCGGATTTTCGTCTGTGATGATGAGCATTGGTAAATTGTTAGGTGGTTGGGAGTTTTCAATTTGTTCGGATTTTTGGTTTACTGACGTGGGATTGATCTCGGTTGAATATGTCTGGTGTGGAATGAAGGAGGTTTCCATGCTGTTTGGAATTGTATTTTTGCACGTCGAGGAAGTGTGTCCCGTCGATTTTCAGATGAAACATGTTATTTTGTCGTCCATGAAAAAAAATACAAAATTGTGAATCGTTTGAATTGATTAATAGTGAGCTTGGGATTTTTAGAATGTCGTCGTATTTTATGTACATCTGTCGGTGAAAACTAAGAATGTGGTCATATCCTTCTGCGAATATTCCAGCTTTTAGGTGGTTTATCTGAGATACAGGGGTGATGTTGAGCATTTTAATTTCTTCTGCTGTTACATTTCTCGGAGAGATAATAACTCTTTCACATAACCACTGATTTATTGGACAGATTAAAAATATCAGGATAAACTGTGGAAATCAACCCTTCCACGTTATTGACCACCCGTCCAATCGTGTGATTGACAGAAATGTAACCATTTTCATTTTCTAAAGTTCCATTTCCAATTTTCAACAACTGTGCTGGAAAAATATCGTCCCTTCCGCATAAATAAACTCTCTTGTTTGTTCGCAAATAAAGTTTTTCAACATAGTTCCATATAGGGGAAGATTTTAAGCAAGCATTAACGACATCAGTTCGAGTACCTTTAGGGATTACTGGTAAGGTTTAACGGAAATTACCAGCGAAAACAAATGTTATGCCACCCACAAACTTATTATTACACCTAAGATCTTTTAATGTTCGATCAATTGCTTCGATATGTGATCTGTGACTTGTACACTCATCCCACACAACGAATGAGGTTTCTTGAAGAATTTTTCCAAGAGGGCCATTTTTACGAATCAGACAAACGTATTCTGTATCAAATAATACATTTAACGGTAACTTAAAAGTCGAGTGAGCAGTTCTGCCACCACTAAGGAGAGTTGCTGCTATACCAGATGAAGCTACTGCTAATGCAACTTTACCTGAAGATCTAATTTGAGCCAACAACCAATTAATTAGGAATGTTTTTCCTGTACCACCCGGAGCATCTAAAAAAAAACTCTTCCTTGATGATTCATCACGCTTTCTGTAATAACATTAAAAGCATATTTTTGATCATTCACTAATTTTGGTAAATTGATTTCTACAAATTCTTGTAATCGGTAATTATCGTAAGAACGAAAAGTTGAGAATTCAAAAAGATCAGATGCATTTTCATTTCGCACAGGTGAGTTCATTCCAAATTCAATTAAATATTTTTCAGACAGACAAACAACTTTACCTTCTATTTCAATCAAACCTCTATTAAATATTTTATCAGAAAAAGTAAATTGCAAGTCATTTAATCGAGTGCGCTCTGTATGAAGAATATCTCCACAAAAATCATTTCTGAACTGTTCCCACAAAGATTGAGGTTCAGACGGTTGGAAGAAAACTATGATTATTGCGAATAATTCTCTTAATTTTGAAAGACTTTCTGAAAGAGTTGCCTCCGCTAGAACATTTTTCCATTGCTCGTCATTTTCTAAAAGCCCAAGAGCAAAACAGGTAGCTTTAAAAGTCGCGTGAATGACTCCATCAAAGGCCTTCAAGCTTTCAAATGATGTAGGACCTTGTACATAATTTAGTAATAATCATAAATGGAAGCACTCACTTTGATTTTGGTGAATCGTGTAAATTCTACCAATGGCAGTGTCCATTTTTTATTCCTGGCCAACCTGGAACATCTTTTCCCCGTCTTCTCTTTAACCAGCCTTTGCTATCATCCCAGATATAATAAGAAGGAACTTCATGATAGAACAGTGTTTTCGCAAAATCATCATGTGAACACAGTTCAAAAAATGCAGTTAGTGTCGTTTTTCTTGGATTTTCAATAACTTGATGAAGATTATTAGCTTTAAAGAAAACACGCTGTCCATTTTCTAGATGAACAGCCAAGTGCTGAACTGTCGGATCTCTATCATGGATTTCAAAATTGAAAATTCTCCAGATCGCTTCAGAAGTACATATGTATCGACCATTTAAATAATTTGTAATCTCATCGTTTCCACGATTGATAAAAAAAATAGCTCTATCTGATCCTTTATTAACCCTCTACAGGCAAGGCCCAGTCACGGGTGACCGGACTGAGATATGACACTAATAACTAGATAATAACATTAACTACTATCCACCGGTTTATCCCATACCCTTTTATAGATAAGCCCACCGTTCGCCTGATATATTTTTGCTTATCTGCTATACCTCAGTTTTTATAAAAAAGTTTGATTATTTCTAATATAAAATAACATTGGTCACCCGTGACCGCCCTTGTCTGATCTGTTGGGATTTATAGCCTTGCCTGTGGAGGGTTAATATATTTACATATGTATTCTATCGCTTTAACCGAATGACAGTATTCTACGTTAATATGCGCATTAAAGCACCTAGATAGCACTGGACAATACGATACAACCCAACGGTTGTCAACCACGATTTCTGTTTGACCACGAACTTTTAATATTGCAGTATAACCTCCATCATCTGGTGATCTCCGTCTGTAAGTCGAATAACCATCATCTCCAGTTTGAGTATCCTTGACCAATTTTTGAGGGTATTTCTTACTACATTTTCCATTATTCATACATGGCGATCTAATATTTAACTCGCCGCATGGGCCATGAATCATATTCTTGCATACTATTTCATAAAGTATAGAGATAAAGTACAGAGATCGTTGTTTGGTATCTCGGCAGAAATAATTTTATCAATTTCATTTGGCTGAATTTTCGTTTGTAACCACAAAAGAATGTGGCAAACCTCGTTTTTTCCATTCAACACTGTAAACATAACAATTTACATCTCCGAAAATATATTTATTTTTTAATACATGCATAAACTTTTTTAGTTTGAGATGAAAAACTCTAGAGATTATATCGTTTATATCAAACGACTTTTGGTCTTGAAATAATTCATTTTTTATTTCCGGCCATTCCGGGTTGCATGGGAAAGTAATAAATAAATCTGGACGGCCAAATTTATGAACATAAGTCATGGCATCCTGATTTTTTTCATTCATGTAACGTGGAGAGCCAGTAAAAGAGGAGGGAAGAATTACTTGTTGCCCCACGTTATTAGAATTAATATTTGCATCATTGTTAATAGCATCTCGGAGGCGAACATAATCATCCGCACGTAGTTGTTTTTGATGGTTACGAATAAAGTGTAGTCTTTCAGAAATCATCATTGCCATCATATCTACGGCGAATTGGCTGAATAATGTTTTGTAATAACGTAGATGATTTAGACTTGTTTCTCTAACCTTAAACCTATAAGAATAAAATTGCATGCAGCAGACAGTTTTTGTTCGATTTTGGTTATTTTTCTGTAAAATATTAATGTGATAACCGTCTTCGCCTTTAGTATACATCAATGGATATTGCAGTGCATCATAAGATCTATTCAATTCGGAAACTCGACTTAAGTGTCCACTCCGACCGTGCAGAACTTTATCTCCGGGACCTTTATCTTCATTAACTAATAATACAGCTACTTCATCGATGGTAGGTGCATTATACTGACCTCTGTGTTCATCTTGAGGAACTCTGTCAGCATGAATAAATAACTTAAAGTTTTGCAACTTATCAAAAGACCTCGACTCCAGATTAGATCTGAAGCTCTGTATGAGGTGATTATTTTCACGCAAAACTGTTTGCAATGATTCAATGAGACCTCTTTTTAAATTTGGAATCATATTTGTTCGAATAGATATTTGATCCGACTCTGACATAAAATATATTTGTAAAAATTTAGCATTATTTCCGATTTCGGGTATTAAACTACCTATTAAATGATGCACTTGACCCTGAATTTTAAAAGAGGGCATGAAGTTCCCTTCAGCTATTTCGTTTGCTCCAAACGATGTCATTTGAAACAGAGTATTATACCGTCTAGAATTATCAAAAAAATGTTTTAATCGAGGGTAAGAATTATCAATTAAACTTTTAATTAGTTCTGGAAGATCCTCAAATTGGTGTAAAACAACTTTACCGTCAGCGCAGCAAAGTCCATGGGTTTCATCTTTCCATTTTTTTTGCATGGCACTTAGGACATAATATAGTCATTCGTCCAATTTGAAGCACTTTAATATTTAAATAATCAATCTCGGATTGATAATTAAACGCTGATTTCATACTCAAAGCGTTACGTTGCTCCTGTGCAAGTGTTTGAGAACATTCTGGTGTGTTATTTTGTTGCCTTCTGTTGTACGTTCGAGTTGCATTGGCAGTTCTTCTGCCAATGCGTGCTCTTTGCGCTCTGGGCATGATAATGAATTGGCCATTTACCCGAAATTTAGGTAAAAAAAACTAAGTACAAATTATGCCAGTGTGCTAATGCCAGTGCGTAACCAAAGCGGTGTGCGTAGCAAAGAACCACACTCGACGGCTATCAAGCTCAGACTGAGCCCGTGATGCCACGTGCGGTGAGCTATGTGCTAATAACCTGCTGTTAGATAAGCAGTAGGTATTGCGTAATATATTAGCGATTAACAATGTAGGCGGATCGTAACACGTTTGTTGGCAAGAGTATTATTACATAAGAGTATTTTTCGATAACGCATAACGCAAAATCATTTGATGACCTGTTAGATCTAATTAAAACGAATTGGAAGCAAATTAAAATATTTTTATAATATGTAATTGCACAATGAATCGCTGTTTCGTTGTCGAAACGCGCGTGTCAACTGAACGGTCCGATAATGATATATGGGATTTCAATACGCGGATTCACGCGCGTGTGCGCGCGGAAATAGATTCTTGCGTCTAAACACGCGCGTCCATCGTCCATGTGAACCTAGCCTAAATGATTAGTTAATATAACGAAGTTATAATAATAACAATATAGAAAATAGGAATATTGGGTATACATTTTGTCGGTGTACGTGCGATAAACTTCTCGGAACGCCGATATCAAACACGATACAAAAAAAAGGTCAAGTTGCAGGTAGCTGTAATCCCGCTGCCCGCCGTGCCGCACAATATAGGTACAATTGTTTTTAATTTTTTATGAACTTTTATGAACTTTTTTACTGACAAAAGTGGTACTAAAACCTTCAGCAGAGTGTCGGATTTCAGCTAAAAAAAATTTCAGCCAAATCTGTTCAGTAGTTTTCTCGGTTAGCGCGGTCGAAGAAAAACTCTTACAATTTTATATATAGTATAGATAGATAGATAGATAGATGATTAAAAACATCGATTCCGTTATGAATTCTTATTTAGCTTTTGAGTTATTGAATAATCGAATCGTACTACCATATTGTCATCACACGAGGTTCACATAAGTTATTGCTGGCTAATACACGCGAAAAACACCCTGGACATTATTATACCAGCCCTAAACCGTTTTAAAGTTTCGTTGTGTCATACTCTAATCTCGCAGTAACTCGTTTATCGTAATTATCTTTAAGCGAGTAAACATCTCGGTCACGTATCTTTTCTTATATACATAGTATAATTATTCATCGGATTTTCTATTGGAATTCCAAAGTCTTATAATAACAATATTAATATTATTAATTATAATAAGGATATTGATACTAGGAACAAACGTTTACAACGAACAAGAGCACAACACTATACTAAATAATATGTGTTTGCAGATTCGGGAAAAATAATCGATTTTCCTGTATTTATATATATATATATATATATATACTTTTATTATTAGATTTGTATGATTTAATATACATAACAATGCCAATAACAAACATTACTATTTTCTCTTTTTACGTGTGTCTGTCGTATTCGATTTTTTTTTCCGTTCTGACAACCAATGCCATTATTTTAGACTGCATTGATAATCAAAAAAATCGAATTATTTTCTTCCGTTGATTTTCGAATCAGTGTCTCATTCAAATATTACTCCTTATAATATCTCAGCGTGTGTTTACCCCGGGGAGAGGTAACATTTTTTCAGCATTACTATACTCAGTTCAAAATAAGAAACGTAGACGGCGGCGGACAGATTTTTCTCACCGTGCGTCTATTTTACCGACGACGGCCGCTGACATACGACCGTTGTCGACGTATTAACGTTCGTTGTGGAATTCGGTCTAGTTGTGTTCCGACTGTTCTTAGCGTAACATGTGTTCACAATTTTATTTCTCCAGACATTTTTTTTTCATCATGTTTGATTTTGGTGATATTTCAGATCCAGATGAATTGTCTACTATTTCTCTAAAGAGAAAAAATCCAAAAGGAAAAGTAAGTAAAACATTTTTCATATTTTATATTCTTCGTCAATGTATATTACATAAATAATAATAATAGTATAATGTATAATTATGCTTATAAAATGATTATTATACATCAGTTATTCATATAGGTTAATATTTTTTTTACAGTATGTATCCAGCCGTCAAAAAATGTTGGTCATAAATTTGTACAAAGATATTTTGATGAAATCACCGGGCATCAAGTACGAAGATATTGTTACTAATTTGTCAGGGGTCTCGGGTTTAGGGCGTGAGACAATTAGTAAAACTATCGCTGAATACAGACGTACTAATACGGTTATATCTCCCAACAAAAAGCGTATTAAGGCGTCTCTCTTCGACAAAATTGATGATTTGGATCGCAATGGATTACGGCAAAAAGTTCATTCATTTTGGTTGCGTCGTGAACTACCTTGATCGACAGAATATTATTTGCAGTGAACGAAGATCCATCGCTTCCTAATTTCAAACGTACTACTTTGTACAGCACCATCAAAATATTGGATTTCATGTTCGAAAAAAGAAAAAGATGCAGTGTGCTAACGGAAAGGGAAGATTTGATTGTTTGGCGCCGCAATTATTTGTACGATATACGTAAGTATCGTCAGGAAGATCGACAAATTTATTATTTAGACGAGACGTGGTTGAATGCAGGAGATTGTGTGGACTACGTGTGGAAGGACAATACTGTTCTTTCCAAACACGACGCGTTCAACAAAGGACACTAACGACCGGGTTGACCAACCCAACTGGCAAGGGCAAGCGGCTCATAATACTCCATATTGGTTCGGACAAAGGTTTTTTGACAGGTGGTTTATTATGCTTTGAATCCAAAAAAAATAGCGCCGATTATCATAATGAAATGAATGGTGATAGTTTCAAGGAATGATTTGAGGCTATTCTACCTCGAATTGAGCCTAATGCCATTATTGTTATGGACAACGCACCATACCATTCCGTCAGATCGGAAAAATATCCGAGTAAACGTTGGAATAAAGCCGAATTATTGGAGTGGCTTCAATCAAAAGGTGTTATTCTTGACAGACCATTTTTGAAGCATGAACTGATGATCAAAGTACGCGAAATACCACGTAATAAATCCTACGTAATCGATAAAATTGCAGAAGACGCAGAACACACTGTACTCCGATTACCACCCTATCATTGCGAATTCAATCCAATTGAATTGGCATGGGCTATGGTAAAAGGTTACGTGAAACACGAAAACACGAAATTTAAGATCGACGAAGTTCGCCAACTTCTTCATACGGCAATTGAAAGGGTGACATCAGAAAATTGGCATAACTTCATCAAACATGTCATCGAAGAAGAAAAGAAAATTTGGAAAGTCGACGATATTATGGACGAAA